CACCTGCATGGTTTTCCCGACGCTTCAGCTACTTTCGTTATTTCTAACCAATGAAAATTGTCCTTACTTTTCTGTTGCGTCATGCAATTTTATTGCACGCATCACTGAATTGTAGAACACACATCACAAGATTATCAAACAAACATCACAAGATTTCGAATATACATCACAAGATTTCGAATATACATCACAAGATTATCAAACATACATCACAAGATTTCGAATATACATCACAAGATTTCGAACATACATCACAAGATTATAGAATATACATCACAAGATTTCGAATATCACAAAATATTGAATATACATCACAAGATTTTGAACATACATCACAAGATTTCGAATATACATCACAAGATTATCAAACATACATCACAAGATTTCGAATATACATCACAAGATTTCGAACATACATCACAAGATTATAGAATATACATCACAAGTTTAAGAATATACATCACAAGATATTGAATATACATCACAAGATTTTGAACATACATCACAAGATTTTGAATATACATCACAAGATTTCGAACATACATCACAAGATTTTGAATATACATCACAAGATTTTGAATATACATCACAAGATTTCGAACATACATCACAAGATTTTGAATATACATCACAAGATTTCGAACATACATCACAAGATTTTGAATATACATCACAAGATTATCGAATATTGCAACGTTTGACATGCCATATAAAAGGGCTTGCCATAAAGACATTATATGATCACCTGGCGCCGTCGCTGTTTAGTTTCATGACGTTCGACAACGTCATTGTTTGTCAATGTCCTCTTCTTCTACCTTATACACTTATTTGATAAGATTCCCTGGAGTTGAGTAAGGACTTAAACCCGCTTTGTTTATATGACTTTACAATATCACGAACAGCGGCTTTCAATGCATATAATATCGCAAATAGATTTATACATTCGAAGAGATCCTCGCTGCCCTTGATTGTGCCAGCATATTTTGCTTTTTGGAGTTCAAAATGTACAACACATGATCAACGTCTTGATTTGTCGTGATTGATTTATCATACCTTGACTACAAATCCACATTAACAGTGCATCCCTTTTTTCTCTGAATCTATTTTGGCATTAAAAGACAAGTACTCTTGATGCATATTATTTCTCTGTAGCCAATTTAAACATTCCTAAGTCTATACCAGTTTTTTTCAGGGACAAAACTTTATAGAATGTTGGAAAAGGAAACCCTGCCCCTTTTTGACGTCATTTTCAAGGCCTTATCTATTTGGACACTCCATTTAAAATTTTCGATATAATTTCAAAAAACTTCCAAAATGAAGCAAAAATTCCATATTTTATGGAACAATTGTGTCCCAACACATACCTAAATTAACGTGAGTTTAGAATGTAGAATGTTCATATAAAAAAATTTGTTCTCAGTTACACTTAGGTCGCAAAAACGGCGTGTTCGAGGTTGCACCGCCTGGACATACCATTACTTACAAAAACATTACTAATTATTAAAAAAAAAATAAAATTTTTGATTTGTGGTTAATTCATTAGATAGAAAAGATGATGAAAACAAGATATTTTAAAATTCATTGATGTACCTCAAGCGGTTTTAATTTCATGGCGCTAGTCCACGAACTTTTTAATAACCCCTCGTAAGAATAAATTTTCATCCACAGTTATTTTAGCTAAATTTTGACGCAGAGCGTATAAATTGTACAGTTCCTGCTTGATTTCAAATTTCTTTTTTTTTTTAGAGAACCTTTCCAAATTAATGAAAAATGGCGTCAGCTGCAAGGATTGTTGGAATCTTTGTTTTGTTTTTTATTACCTTCCTCATCGGTCTCATACCGTTTGCATTATTAAGATTGTTTGAGAAGAAACTATCGAAGGAAAAAGTGAAAAGGTGGATTGGAATTTTAAACTGTTTTACAGGGGGAATATTTTTTGGGACAGCCATTTTGCATTTGCTGCCAGAGGCTAGAACACTTATAAAGGAGGTCATCTCTTATGATTATCCGGTCACAGAGGCTATAACCGGAGGTGGATTCTTAATTACGCTAACTCTGGAACATCTCATCAGTTACCATGGTTTATCCCATGTCGGCCATTTACACGACAATGGACATGAGAACAAAATAGACCTAAACGAAGACGCTGCGACGAAGAGGGAAAATGAAATCAACGGAAAGTCCCTCGACAAATCAAAAGAAGCAGCAGAGTCTGTCAAGGTGGAAGTCGAACAACCTAACTTTAAATTTCTAGCTTTTCGGTCATTTCTTCTATTGTTAGCTCTGTCATTTCACATGATATTTGAGGGTTTGGCCGTCGGACTCCAGACCGAGGAGGAGGATGCCTGGATTTTACTGGGGGTTCTCTCCCTCCACAAAGTCGCTGTCGCATTCAGTGTCGGATTTCAGCTGGAAGAAAATTTGAAAAAGTTTAAGTTTGTGCTGTTGTCATTGTTTCTTCTATCCATTGTTGCGCCAATCGGGGTCGTTATTGGCTACATCGTGACGGAAGTGGGAGAAGATGCGCATGGGCAGGACATTGCTTCGGGAGTTTTGCAGAGCATCTCTGTCGGTTGTTTTCTTTACGTAACTTTCTTTGAAATCCTTAGTAATGAAATACACATCACCAAGGAAAGGAGTCATTTAAAAGTCTTGTTTACTGTCATTGGATATTTAGTTGTCATTGGTATCCAGTTCGTCAAGCATGACCATGAAGGTCATGACGACCATTAGACAAGGGTTAGGTCGTCCGACAAGAGACGTTACAATCAAACAATGATTGGACTATATTGTTTTGACGTGATTTGTAAAGATTACTACAATTGATTCACCTGTATATTTATAATTGTATATCATTTACAAATGTATCTCACATCATTACTCTATGCTCTTTGTCTTGCCGTGATATTTTCACTAAACATAGGTTACATTTTATTCAATCCATATTGTTCAAATGCTATAACATTTGTCAATTGTAGTAAAACACGATTCAATTCATTTTTTTTAACTTAATATGAACACTAAAAAAGACAAGAATTAAATGTCATTCTGCATTAAATTTCCTAGTCGTGCGAGAAAGAGTGGGGTGACTATAAAAGAAAAATGCAAATGGACAAAAATAGAAAATTTATATGTTGAAAGACGCTAAGACATCAACATTACATCGACATTCAAATACATGTGTATCGAAGACATCTTATCAAATAACAATTAATTGTACTGTATTTTCATTCGTATGCCGAATCGATATACTGTGTGCTTTATAAAGCTAGCTACATATTTTAGCGGCTTTGGCCAGAGAGCAATACGCTGATTTATGAATACCGTAAATTAATAATGTACATATACAATATATATACTAGTATAGGTCTTGTGTAGCGCTAATTCATGATTACACCAACAACTCCATATCAAGTGATTGTGCTGAATTTTCAATACACCATTTCATGTACACGTAAAGTATCCCATTGAACGTGAAATAAATGACACCAAAGAGTCTGCCACATCTGATTTACTGAAAATAGACGATAAAGTCCAATTGACAACTAAATTGACAAAAGAGTTGACCAGCTTTTCCATCGTCAACTTTCCTTATTATAATCACCTCCTTATGGTGTTTACGTCTTTCAGATTATTCGCCACAATATATATAATATAATTATCTTTGTAAAATTTCCTCTACAAATTGAGAAGAAAAACGCGGTAACTATGAAGCAGAATTTATGCAAAATCTTATGGGTGGAAAGAAGAAAGCACTTGCTGAAGCCTTCAACTCGACATTTAGATATATCGACGACGTATTGTCAATTAACAATAGTTATTTCCATTCCTATGTCGATACAATATATCCTGGTGAGCTTGAGATAAAAGATACCACAGAGTCTGACACATCTGTTTCCTACTTGGATATTTTACTTGAAAAAGAAACTAATGGTAATCTAACAACGAAGCTCTGTGATAAACGTGATGAATATTACTTTTCTATCGTCAACTTCCCTTACCTATGCAGCAATATACCTTCATCACCTGCATACGGAGTATATATATCTCAGTTGATTCGATACGCTAGAGCATGCTCTACGCATGAACAATTTCTAAAACGAGGTAAATTATTGACAAACAAGTTGATTAAACAAGACTATCAGCAGTCTCGTTTAAAGTCATCATTTCGTAAGTTCTATGGTCGATACCATTACCTTGTCAGCAAATACAATTTATCATTGAGTCAAATGCTAGCTGACTTTTTTTTATACTAATTGTTAGTCCATTATTTATACACTGAATTGACGACGGATTTTTCCGTTATTTCTTGATCATGACAAGGAGCACACGGCGGGCGTGACCGGTCGGTAGGGGATGCTCACTCCTCCATGGCACCTGATCCCATCTCTGATGTTTTGGAGGTCCCTGTTTGCTCTGCCCCTATTTTGTATTGTTTTATGGACTTTGATATTGAATAATATTCGTTATCTCCATATCCTTCATGAAGAGATGAAGTAGGTCTTCATATGCATACTATAATCGTTGTACAGAATTTTCTAAGACAAGTAAAAGTATTGAGAAGCACGTTGATGAAAAAAAAATATATCAACAGTTTCGTTGAAAGTCATCATTTCGCTAGTGTTATAGCCAATGCAATGACCTTTTCAAAAAATAAAATCTATCATTAAGACATATGTGGACACACGGCATGAGATACTCATTCCTCCATGGCACCTGATCCCACCTCTGATGTTTTTACTTTCCATGTTTGCTCTGCTCCTGAATTATATTGTTTGAATTACTTCTTAGCTTGAATATTGTTTATTAACAACATATTTCGTACATGAGCTTCATAGATCTGCAAAAAATAAAAAATAAAATTTAAGACTGTAACTAAATGGGAAGAAGAATATTTGTGTCCGTTATAAAAAAAAAAAAGGAACATTCTTTTCTCTAGTGTCCTTTTTAGGAATGCTGCTTATTTAAACCTATCTTATACGATTTAAAATAACTTAGGGCATGCATGCAGTTAACACTTTATAAACCGCTTTATAAAAAGCGTAAACTGTCTATAGTATAGCATAGGTTAGAATAAGAATCACTCTTTATGATTTAATTTCATTTTAGACAATAAAAAATTGCTTCAAATTGAACATATTTTAAAATTAACGTCAAGCGGAGTAATACTTTTTTGACGTTACTCATTGTGACGTAGGCAACTTATGTTACACAATATAAAATAAATTTTATCCATTGAAATGACGTGTGACAGCTAAAATTAAATTATTGAATTTCAATAAAGTTAATATGAAGAACATTGCTTTGTCCGAATAAGAAATGACGGACAAATGATGAATCAAAAGATAGCTTCCTGTAAACTTTATAAAGACGAATGGACTCGACAAATATTATGCACATGTATATAAAGTTCTATGTGTATTGACTTTATTTCACAAAAGGAAATATTGTGACCCACAATAAAGCTTAATATTTTATATGACAAAAAATTGGATTAGATCAACGATATATATATATATATATATATATATATATATATATATATATATATATATATATATATATATATATATATATATATATATATATATATATATATATATATATATATATATATATATATATATATATAAAGAAAAGAAAAAAATACTTGTTTATTTTGGTTTCAAAACTGTTCAAATTAGTCGATTTCTTTAATCTGTTGTCTGTGGTTTAGGTGGACCCAAATTAAGAGAACAACATCATGCAAAACTAAGCACAATTTCTTTTTTTTAAATCAAATATGAGCAGGTCTACTATTTCCTTAATATTCTATCTTGTTTATAATAAAGTTTGTACACTTATTGGGAAGGAACAATTTGACAGTACCATATTCAGATAACTATCATGGATTTACTGGTCTTAAGACATTTTTAAAAAGATTTTTTTCCGCTATATATTCCAAGTTAAGCCTCAGGGGTCCTGGTTTGAAGAAAGATGAATCTAAACTATGTAAAAAAAAGTTTCGCATAAGGCCCTACGCTTCTCCAGAAAATAAAATTTCAAAGAAAGCCAATATATTTACACTGAACTCGAATGATGGCGTCATGCTTTTTTAAGAAACCTGAATTTCCTCTACCCAAGGACCAGTTGACCTTGACCAAATCCTTCTGAAGAGCTTTAAAAAGGGTGTACAAAAGAAAAAAGGTGTCTCTCAGAACCATAGGAATCCCTTACAAAAGATTGTTTTGAAATGTTCTCAGTTCTTATGCAATGCCGGAAATAAGGTGTAACTGAAGAAAACCCAATAAAATGCTCAATCTATAATCAATCCAACTTTTCAACAGCTCATCTGTATTTATACGAGTAGTAAACGTTTATCAAACATATATTTAATATTCTTCCTAATATCTATCTACAGTTAATAACAGGAACAACATTTTATCATAAGGCAAGACAGATAAGCAAAAATACTTCTTTATAGTCTTTCTTCTTTCTATACACAAATAAAAAATACCTTTGGATATTAAAAAAATATATTTAAGCATTCGATTTATATAACAAATACAAAATCAACCATTTAACAATTTAACCTTTGAAAAGTGTTATCTAGGATGACTGCTAGATAGAAATCATTGTTCCTTACTTAAAATAAATAAAATTTCAAATTATCTTGACTTTTTAAAATGATAAGATTACAATAACAATAGAGAATTAACATGGATATCAACTTCGTATATAAGTAAAAACCTTCATCTAATAAACAGGAGACCATAACCTAAATATTTTAACTCAACCTGTACATGTAGCTGAAACATAATCCTCCATCGTATTTATGTTCTTCTTCGCCCTATATTAAATATAGTCCTGCTGGACATGTTATTACAGGTGACGTAAATATAGTTAATAATGAGGACCTTAAATCACTTATTTTAAAAGGTCCTAAATACAGGGAACCCCGATCCTTCAACTAGCGTCGGAATTTCATAAATATTTTGGATTCTGTTGAAGATTACGCCAGACGATGTGCCAGATATGAAAAAGAAGACGTTGGCACTTTGTCAGAATGGATTAAATGTATCAGATCCATGTTAAATTAGCGTATTAAAAGATTGAGGGGCAATATGAAAACCATCTCTTTTTTTTGGTATTCAATAATCCAGAAGTAAAACAGAATAAGATAGATTACATGATCAGTATGTACTGGTCCCTGCTGACAAAGCAGGTAAAAACATTGTCTTCGTTTGTAAGGCTCATTATATAAATTGTATTTTAGAAGAACTTGGATTTAATTCTACAACTGGTAATCCAACTTCTACTCATAGTTCCCTTTCTAAGTAAGAAATTCTTCAAAATCATATGTCAGTTTTGAATATTTTTAATATCCCGAAGAACCAAAATGAATTTGAACTACCATATATATATTGGATTCCGAAACTTCATAAGAATCCTTACAAACAAAGATACATTGCGGGTTCTATTAAATGTTAAACCAAGCCTCTTTCTATACTCCTTACTAAGATTTTGGCAGTAGTGAAGGAAAAACTTCAAGAGTACTGTGCAACAATATATTCAAGACGTGGTGTGAATCAGATGTGGATACTAAAAAAAAAAAACTCGAAAGAACTTTTGGACAATTTGAAATCACAAGATTAAATTTACTAAAATCAACAGCTTAAAAACTTTCGACTTTTCAACTTTATACACAACCATTCCACACGATAAATTAAAGCTCAAGCTTTTTTGGTATCATTGACAGCTGCTTTTTTAATAAAAATGGAACTCGTAAATTTACTTACCTGGTCATAGGTCATTTGCAAATTTATTTGTTAAAACACATTCTGATTGCACAGACAAGTTCAAAAATATGCTTGAGTTTCTGATTGACAATATCTATGTGG